GGGGGTTGAAATAACCAAGTCCGAAATCCCCTAATTGAGGTAGATGTGCCATAAGAATGCTTTCAGCGTGGAGGAGTCCAAACTGTAGCTCAGAAGCAAATGTCACTAGGAACTAGTCATGGTGTGCTTTCTTTCTAGTTTTTTAGGGGGAGGGAGTTGTTTCATTAATTTAATGTTTTCGGAAGGGGGGGTTGGAGGGGCACAACATATAAATTTGATACGCAGACTAAACATAATTATATAGTTCCACCTAAAAAAATAAACAACCTTATTAAGCCGAACGTTGGCAGGTCACCCTGTTCTAGTGAGCATCTCTGCCAGAGAATCCTTCTTTTTGGGTCGCCTTCAAGGTTTGAAGGCCATGTGGGCCCTAATCTGTGCTCCCGACGGTGTGAGCGCAGAACGAAATAGCCTACATTTGTACATGAATGTTCCTCCTTTCTCAACCTGTTCGTGATGCGATAGCTATTATGTTTATTTGCTTCTGGAAAGAGACAGCCTTTGATGCACAGAGGTAGATGATACTGACAATACCCCTGTGGGGAAATAGCTAATCCCTCTCACATGATTCGTAGTTCTTAGAGAGCCAGACGACAATGGGCTTACACATGAGCATCGTCTCCACACGGCCAACTCATCATTACTTTGAACAATAAACAAACTTCTGAAAACGTGTTGGGTTCTTTTTTTCTTCAGCTCAAAACAGGGACCTTAAACAGGACGCTGTTGTGTGAGTGTGAAGGGTGAAGGGGTTACGGACAGAAACTGTGGGCCATTATTTCCTTTTAAAATGTTAGATCAACCCTTTTGTTCTCGCTTTGAACGAAAACTGAGTCCGGTGATTTCTCTTAGATTCTCTCTATGGTAGGCGCCATGGCACCTCCATCTTGAATTTCAGTTTGGAAACTACCACAGACAGACAGATCCATAAAAATACAATTCAAAAGCGATCGTGAAGCTGTTCACTGTTTTTGAAAACCGGGGGCAATATCTGGAACTTCTTCATCTATCTATCTATCTATCTATCTATCTATCTATCTATCTATCTATCTATCTATC